AACTATTTTCAAGTATCTTACTCAATTTTTTTTAGTTTTATAAATGGATGACACCAATTTGGACACGTCAAGCCGATCACAGAAAAGTTTTTGAGGACCTCAACGACGATGCTGAAGCAAACTACCTCATTATTTTCTTACGGTAATATTCAGTCGGCACTTTTTCGCATTATTTCATTTAAACTAGTGTGACAATTTCGAGCGAAAAAAGAGTTCATCTCACAATTCTTTCGATCAGAATGAATCTTTTTGTGGGGCTTGTTAGGGGTCATTAAAATTTCGTGCTCTGCATATTAGATTTGCGGAAGGTACACGATAATGATTATGTTCGTTTATCTAAGCTCACCTGTTATAGCTGATGCGTAGAACTTCTTAACTGAAGCACTCAAATATGCAGTACTTCATTGTAAGATGGGTGAACTGGTTATATATGATGAACACATGGAAGCCGATGTGGCAGTCAAATCATTCTCAACACTCTAATTCTCAATCTTTTAGTTCAGTGTTTTCGCTCTGAATCTGCTCGCTTGTCAGTCTTAACAGCTAATATTTCGAGACATCAGTACTGCATATTACTCATAAGTGACCTTCCATTGCCCTTACATGATTCAGGTTAATAACAGCGGGCTACCTGAAGGAACACGCTGAGGAATATGCTCCTTTCATCGAGAATGTTAGCCTTGCCGACTACTGCGTTACAGAGATTGAATCAATGTGGAAGGATGCGGACCACCTCGCAGTTACTGGGCTTGTGAATGCTATCGGTGAGCTCGAAAGTGCTTTTTGATATAATTTTTGATTACAGATTCCATTATTCAGGACAAAATATTCGCGTACAGTACATGGACCAAAATGCAGCTCCAAATGGTGGATTATTTTATGACTTTCCACCTGATCAAAAAGAAGCTCCACGCATAACCCTCCTTTACCGACCAGGTCATTATGATCTTGTTTACCGCAGGTGAATGCGATGCTCCTTCTTCTCACCCAACTACCTTTAGATGAGGTCGCCTTTTTAGTAAGTAATAATAAAATTGTATTAAAAATGTAATTTCAAAGCCTTTCCGAAATCTTGCAATGCATTAGTTTATTCATAATGTGATAT